TCCTCCTCAGGCTCATGGTTCTCCAGCTGGGCCTTTCGCGCCTCCTGAGCTTCTAGTTCCTTCTCATTCATATCCCGGTGTTTGACCACAAGCAGAGCATTGGTACCAGACTTAACCCCAGCCTTAGCCCGACGTTTACTGAGGCGGACCCTTGTCTCCAATTCATTGTAGTAAACTCCATCACCCTCTCGGAAGATGAAGAAGTAGTTTTCTTCATAGCCCTTGCTAGCCTTGTTCTTCACATTCCAGTTGTACTCCTGAGCAATCTTGTAGTCATACACATCATCTGGTGCATAGTCCATCTCCTCTTCCTGATCCCGCTTTCGTTTCTTCAGTGTCTCTTCCACAGGCAGGAAGTAGGCCACACACTGGTTTCCTTCTTCATCCATCATGCCCCTGATCATAGCCTGAGACATCACCTCCAATGCAGCTGCGCCGCTTTTGTCCTTTGGGGCTGGGTCTGAGTCAAAGATGACCTGGGCACATGGGTTGATCCACATCTTAAAGTCTGGGAAGACAGGCATAACCTCCACTGGTGTCACTCGTGGCTTGCTGTAATGCTGAGAGATCGACTTCTGGGCATCCTCAAATGTCTTCTCAATGGCTGTGATCTGGCTATCCCTGTCTTTGTATATTTCTTCCTCAGTGAATTGCTGTTTCACAGAAACTCCAATTTTGACCTCAGGCTTCTTGTTGGAGATGCCATAACGGTTGAACTCAACGGAGATGTATTCAGTCTCCCGCATCCAAGGCACCACTTTCGCATGCTGTTGGGATCTCTTAGAGCTTGTAGGAGCCTGAATCTCTTCTTCCAAAAGTTTCTCATCAGCCAGATCTAGGGGAACATTGGGGTCGATGCGGTATGTGTCAGGGTTGATGAGGTCAATGGTCACCCCCAGATCTGGCTCGGTTAGTAAGTCATGTTTGTGCTGTTTCTCCAAGGAAGGTGCTTTATACTGGACAAACCTGTTCTGATCAAAAGCGTAGGTGATGAACTTGGGATCGAAGGGGATGTCAGGAAGGCTATTGCAATACTTGACTCGGCAGACCACTCCAGACCTCTCAGGCAGAGTCCGGTGGGAATTAGGCCTGTGGCCGTCCCCTCGCTGGGCCTGGGTCTGGATCGTGGGCGCCATGGCGACGAGGCGACAACGGCCTGAACAAGGTCCAGGCTGTGCCAAGGGGGAAATGTAGAGCGGCCTGCCGAAGAAGTCGGACAACCGATCCTAGGCCAGGCAGTCTGGCGCTGCCCTCCACGGGGAGTGAATAGGTCAAAAATAGGGTTCAGATCTTTTGTTCATAGGGTTGCTATGAGTTGTATTTGACTTGACAGCTCCTAACAACAACATGGAATTAGATATAGCTTTGGGATTCCAATGGAAAGATGATCCCAGGGTCCTAGGGGAAATTGTGTCTTTTTTTCTATCTGGACTATCCCTGATAGCCAACACAAGCCCATTCTAGCCACTTTACTCTTGTTTGGAAGGTTTAAAACTACTACTGCTAAAAAAAAAAAAAATAATAATAAAATAAACCAAAGCTCACAAAAACCCTATCACTGCTTTTGGAGAAAGAAATAATTCAGAGAACTTAAGTCTTTATGGATTTTTCTCACTGTATCTGTGTAAAAAGATGTTAAAATAGTCGTGTTGGCTAAGGCCTGATGACGATAAAGACCATATTTCAGAATAAGACTTTTAGCCAGGTAGGAAGTTGTTTGTTTTTTTTTTTCTTTTCTTCTCCCTGCCTCTTTTTAAACAGTCCAGTCCCTCCGTAAGGACTATCCACTTAGCTTTGTATCCAAAGACGAAATTTGTAGGTGAAAGGAGTTAGGAGTTAGCCTTCGTTACAGACTGGTTCATTTCAGGGTCGAAAATATGGAACGCTTCACGAATTTGCGTGTCATCCTTGCGCAGGGGCCATGCTAATCTTCTCTGTATCGTTCCAATTTTAGTATATGTGCTACCGAAGCGAGCACAGGTAGGAAGTTGTTATTATGGACTGCAGAGTTGGAACCAGCCCCTAGCTGATCCTCTGGTGAGTTCTTAGAGGCAGTAAACCACCCAGGAGGGGATTACCCAGCTTTCTTCTGTGGGGCAGCTGGGAGATTCGAACTTTGTGCTGATAGCATAGCTCCTCACCACTAGGTCACCAGTGCTCCCCAAAGGAAGGGATTATAAAAAAAATTTATGACATTTTCCTTCCTCACTTACAGTAATAAAATGGCCAAGAGTTTGGAATGAGAAATGTCTGAACAAAGTGTTTCTTATGTTTCTCTCTCATGATTGAGAAAGTGGAGCCAGGCCCCTCATCACCAGATTAGCAGAGAGAATTTGCTTGTCCCCTGACTGAGCGTCACAGGAGTTTTTTTAAGCCTTGGGCACATGAAGCCACACAAGTATCCAGTGTCTACCTAGAAAATCTTAAGGACCGGAGATGGGCAAGCCCGAGGCTCTAACCATGGAGTAAAAGTGAAATAGATAGTAGTTATACTTAAGTGTGCACTCCCTGAATTTGTCAAGATAGAGACTATGGGGGGTGCAGTGACCAGAAGTGGGTCACACCCAACAGCAGGTTCTTAGCCAGGAAGTGTCTTTTATCAAATGAGGCAGCATGGGCAAGACACACAGATCTTCTCAGAAAAATGTTTGAGATAAAACCAAATTCATAAGGACTGAGGAAGGAGTGAAAGAGTACTGGAATCAAGTACTTGTCTATGAGGCAGACTAGGGTGGTGTGGAGAACCTTTGGATTCAAACATGATGAAGATGAGGAACCACCAAAAAGAGTTAGGGAGAAGCATCTTTAAACATCTTCCAAGTCCAAGGAGTTGATTTTAAATTACCAGGCCAGGACCAGAAACACATCAACTTTCTCTTTTCATTTCCAGAATCCCAACTGTGACAGAATCAGACCCACAGCAGGAATCCAAAAAACTTTCTGTTTCTCCTCACTGCCAAGTGGTAAGTGATTCATAGCTGACCCTTTACTGTAAGTGGCTTGGGAAGAGATTGTCCATATTTCTCCTGAAGAATCACTGGGGCATATAAACTGTCAGGAAGGCATGGCCTTTGGTTTACCATTGATTACCTATGAACAATGCCCCCAGAGCTCTATCTAAAGAAGGAAGAGAAATATTCCCCAGACATCTTTCTTCTCACCTTTCAAGAATCCTGGGAGAGGAAGGAGAAGCTCCAACTTTAAAGAATTATGGACCAAATATTTTAACTATGAAACTGAACTATATGCCCTTTTTAAGTATTTATTCTTTTCATATAGTACTACCGTTACAATATATTTCATTCCCATACATTGTGTTTTATACAATCTTTCATTTAAATTGTGTTTCATACAATCATTCAAACACATTCTATTTTACATTATTGATGGTATGCATAGGAATCAGATCGATTACATCTGTGGAAAGAACCGCTGGAGAAGCTCAATATCAGCTGTGAAAACTAGGCCAGGAGCTGAT